TTACTGTCACCCTTGTTCGTATATATTCAATAGTTTGCGCCCTTCATGCCTAACATTTTGAGCTGTAGTTATAAACCTCTGCTCTAGGCCTTTCTCATTTCTTAGGGCGTTTAGATGGTTTCAAAATTTTGCAGCTGCCTTTCTATCCTCTTATGTATATTTGCCAGCCACGGAGCGCCCTTTTTTCTAATATTTTCATTGATCAGAAGGGATGCTTCCCTTCTACAGCTTAGAAAGTTATCGAATTTTTTTTAACATTATCTGTCAGTGCACCCCACTGCTTAGCATGTCTGTCTTCCCTCGAGGCTTCCTGACGTTTCCCTATGCCTCTCTCAACCTCCTCATCCCACCAACTCTTGGGCTTGTGTCTCCTTTGCCGGGGAAACTTGTCACGTGCCTTAGCAAGCTCAAGCAACAGTCTAATTAGATTTGTGTACGTCCACACTGTTTTATTATCCTCAGTGGTTACTTTCTCAATTTGTTTAGTAGCTATTTCTATTTGCGTTTCTGAATAAAAATTCCCCTGTAGTTGCTTGACTTGTCTCCTTCCCATTTTAATTGCTCTTCCAAAAAATAACTTGGTGCGTTTGTTATCACTACCCAGACTTCTTCATTCATCTATGTGTATTCCCCTGAGCTTATCATGCATACTATGTGACATCAGTCCATAATCTATCGTCGACTGTAGCCTTCCTACCTCCCATGTTATTTACCCTTCGCACTTCTCAGTACTGTTGCAAGTGATCAAATCATGCCTTTCACACATATCTATGATCATTTTGCCTGTTGAGTCAGTATACCCATCTACATCTTCTATGTGCGCATTCATATCTTTTAGTATAATTATCTCGCACTCTCCTCCTAATTCCTCAACGTCCTTCGATATACACTCGACCATTGCCTGGTTTTCCTATTTGGCCTTTGCTCCCGTCCACAAGTACACCAAACCAAGGAGTGTCATCTGCCCAGCTACTTTCCCTTTTAATCATAAATGATCTGTGGATCCCTGCTTGACTTTTTGCCAACCCATACTTTTATGTATGAATGCCCCAATCCGCCCTCCTTTTTGCTGCCTTCTGTTCTATTGCAATATTTCCATACGTAGTCCGGATTGCAAGATGGTTGTTCCATGTCCCGAAAATGTGTCTCCACAACTCCATACACCATCATCTCTTCCTGCCTTAACTGCTCTTCTATCTCTTCCCACTTCTTGTTCTTGCCACCCTGCATGTTAATTTAGCCTATGTCTGATTTAGCTCGGCCCTTGTGCTTACGTCGATTTCTTCTTCTACGGACACCATGTGGCTCAAATATTTGTGCCCCTTTAGAACCGTCTTTTGCTGCACTGTTGGCCTCAGAGCTCTGGGCCCCCCTAAAAAAGCTGTGGCTTGCCAACCGACCCTGTTACCAACTATCCTGCCACTGTAGTGAATGCCATCCTGTGCAAAGTTGCGAGCGCCGGGCTTGTAAAGGTTCTGGTTCACCTTTATTACACTGTATTCGAGCTGCCGGCTCATACCCCTGATGACACAGTTTTGCCTCCGCTACCCTCCTTTCAGTGCCACGAGGCTGACCCCAGACCTCTGCTGAGCATATGGTCACATGAACACCCCAGAGGCGTCTCCGAGTTCACGCATCTCACCCTCTAACTGGCTCTGAAGGTTCTGAGTACTTCAGCAGCATGAATAATGACGTTCTAACTGGCTCTGAAGGTTCCGAGTACTTCAGCACATCATTAAGACCAGCATGAATAATGACGAGATTTTCGTCCTCCAAGCTGTCTTCTACAACCTCCTGAGCTTTCGCCAATGCATCCATAATGCACTTCCCTGACTGTGCTTCCACCCTCTCTCTCCCATCTTCCTTCACTGTCTTGAAGACGCCATCTCTAACCCTGGCCAAGTTAGAGTCTCCGACCACTAGCACTATTCTACGCTCCAATCGCTGGCTTTCTGTTTGCGATGGCACCCCCGTTTGCTTTCCCTATTTCTCTCTCTGCCATGTGTCCTGTGTTTCTGCCCTGCTCGAGGACTGCCACGCCACCGAGCTGTATGTTCTCGGGGCCTCCATGCTGTGACCAGACACCGCGGCCCCCTGACCTCCCTTCTCGCCTGTTCCTTCCCGCCTCTCGCGTTTTCCGCTGCCCACGCCTTCCATCTCGTACCGCTCTGGGCCGGGACAAAGCGCCAGTAGCTCCTTTACCCACTGCTCGGTCCGCCCTTCCCGTTCTTTTCGAAGGTCACCCTTCATTTGCTTTAATAGGCTGGTGGTAGCTTCCTCCACCTTCAGTGCTTCGCACAGCCTGCACACGAAGCTAGCCTTCTCCGCGTCAGCCAAACTCATGAAGACTGTGTCGTCTAGGTAGCATCAACGCTTGAATTGTTCGCACTGCCACGGCCTCTCGATCCCAAAGGGAGAGATCGAGCGGCCATGGCACTGCACCAGCTCACTCTCGCCCGTGGTTTTTCTTCCTTCCTTAGCCATCGCCCTCCCAACCATCGGACCGAGCGCCCAACTGCCCCAAGTTCAACCCTAATCCCGCTATCCAGCCGCTTCTGCTAACTATCTTATCTCAACAACGGCAGCGACAAAAAAAGCGCCGCGAGCGATTCGGTCGGCGGCAAAAATTGACTGAGCGGGGGAAAGAGAGAAAAGTGAGCGGCAAGTGGCGCCACGCGGCAATTGTGTTCGTACCTTAACGTTATCGCGTTAATATTCTAAAGCTCTTATCGCACCCGCTTCGCCCGCAGCGCTTGCAAACGGTATTCTAAAACTCTCTATTCTAAAACTCCCTATCACTGCATGTGTAAACCCTTTCCGTTCCCAACTGTTAATATGAATTTCAGGTCCGTTCGATTCACCTGCACCAGTCAGAACCGGTTCACAGCTGTGCACGCGAAGTTCAGAAATTGTGCAGCGTGAGTTCAGCGGTGCAGGCACAGCACGATACCCGAAACGAATGACGATGTGCCGACAAGGTGCAGGCCTTATTTCTTTTCGCTTAATTTACGTCGTTCAGCAAACACTGACCGATGGCGAATCGAACATGCGGACAGTTTATGAGACGCAAACATCTTGACAAAACCCACCGCGTTTGTATAGGCGGGTACACGGCGCCTAAGCCACCTACGCCAAAGTGCTGCGTCGTCTGCTCAGCTGCACGCGCGGCTGCACCAAGCCGGCACCGTCAGCGTAGGAGGTGCAAGAAAATCGTGAACCAGTGCTACACCTCTTCTGTACCTTCCGAAACGAATGGCAAGGTTCAGAGGCCGTCATTGCTACACCGCTGAAACGAATGGCAAGGTGCAGCACCTCGTGAACTGGTTCACGTGGTGCAGGCGAATCGAACGGACCTGAAATCGCCAAAGAATGGCGGGCTTGCCGGCCATTTTGAAAGGTGCTAGATATCAAACATCAGTCATACAAATCAATAAAACAGATTGTTATTTGCCCATCAGTTGCATTTTCATGCACAAATTGCTATTATAACTACTCGCGGATGCACAAATCTTGACATGCGTAAATATACAGTGCTCAACTGAGTAACGTTTGGCGGGCTTCATGCATTACTTCGGCAATGGAAAAAAATAGATATTTCCAGTTGAGTGCAGTCAGCGCACGAAAACTGCTCATGGCCAAGTGCCGCGATTTTGATGCGCATCTCTCACCGCTTGTCTACACTGAGACGGCGATGCCACCGCTGCAGCCAGATCTCGGCGGCAAGGTTCCATTTGGCGTTGCATAAGTTTGTTGCCAGACTTTGGGGTGGCTGTTGCCAGACTGCCGCTAATTTTGGCAGAAAATTTTTCTTTTGTAGTTGTGGCTTCTTCGTAAGAGTTTGGTGCTATCCGCGGTGCACTTCTTGGCTGAAAACTTTTCTCCTGTAGTTGTGGCTTCTCCGTAAGAGTTTGGTGCTATCCGCGGTGAATTTCGCGAGTGCATGAGCGACGCTGGCCGTTTTAATTAACGGAATGGACTGAGCCTAGCAGAAGTCGAGCGCGGCGCTGCTGCGCAATTAAGAGGCCGTTTTAATTCCGTTTTAATTAACGGAATGAACCGCGCATTACAGAATTCGTTTTCTTTACGGAATATACCGCGCCTAGCAGAAGTCGAGCGCGGTGCTGCCGTGCAATTAAGAGGCCGTCTCAATTCCGTTTTAATTAACGGAAGGAACCGAGCTTAGCAAAAGTCGAGCACAGGATATCGGCGAGCGATCACCTTAATCGAAGGAAAAGGTCTTTCACGTTGAGACGTGCAACGACCAAGTACGTCTCGAGAGGGAAAAAAAAAAAAAAGGGAGCCTTGCCCCTGCCTACCCAGCATTGTGAGTGTCCCGCGGAGCTGGGACAGCTAGCTGTTTCCTGCAACCATTGTACCTGAAATGTGGGTCTGCTCGTTTTTTTTTTTTTTTTTGCCGGGGCGATTGTACGTGACGACTTACTGCATCGTGGGTCACCATAATTAAGCCGAGGTCCTTGCGAATTCCCCATCACTCGGATGTCGGCGGCCGCTTCTGTGCTGTTCCCGACTGTCTGTCTGGCGGAGAAGCCACAACTACAGGAGAAAAATTTTCAGCCAAGAAGTGCACCGCGGATAACACCAAACTCTTGCAAAAAAGCCACAACTACAGAAAAAAAATTTTCTGCCAAATTTAGCGGCAGTCTGGCAACAGCCACCCTTCCAGTCTGGCAACCACTTATGCAACGCCAAATAGAACCTTGCCCTCGGCGGCAATATAAACAACCTGATAAAGCATGCGTGATAAGCACAAAATTGCGCAAATGTCGATAGTCAGTAAAGGCGCCCAGTGGCGGAAAGATAGACGCGCAAGACTGTCCGTATTGTTTGCACCCTCTCTCCAGGCGACTTACTCGAGGCAACTATAAAAAATTACAAGGCTGCCATGAGTATACCACTCGAAAACCTTTAGATCATTCTTAGGGCAGCGTTTCCAGACAATTCAAGCACACATATTAACGAGTGAAGGTAAAATGTCTTGCCTGTACAAAATGTTCGATGCCCTGTATGGTAGTCAGCCGGTTGTAGCTCAAGTCCAGGCGGTAAGCGGCGAATGCGTACGCGTGCACCAACCTATCGGGTATTGTACGGCAGTCATGGCCTACGCACGAGATGTCGCCGTTACGGTACGGTTCGAAGACCGAAGAGCCGTCGCTGGGGCCCCTATGCGCGAACGACGCCGCCATAGCCCAACAACTGACTTCGGGTGCTGCTATCGGAGCTGTGGCAGTACTAGCGCCACGTAGAAACATGTTATCGCGACGCCGGTCACGTGGAGCGCCACAATAACGGCCGCTGCGTACGAACAGCTTGTTTTGGGTTTGGGTCTTCGGGCATATCAAATCTCTCGGCCCGAAGAAGCGGGCCTCCACAGATGGCAGACGACGCCCGCTTCGTCTGCAAACACTGGTCGTACCGACTCCATGCACCACGTTCCTCCGTGCCGTGCACGGACGAATGAAACGGCTCTGTGTACCGACCGATGGCGGCGTTTGTGCGGTGTGCCGTAGAGGTCAGCGATGTCTCCGAAACTGCTGCCCCGACGGGCTCAGAGTGACCAAACACCAACGCTTGCAGCTTTGCACTGCAGAGTGAGCAATGATTCTGCGCCCGTGTGTTTCGATGGCCGGCGCCCTCCTGTCGGTGGGCTGCAGCGGTATCGTCTTGGGCGCCCGGAAACCGCTGTCGACGTCCCGAGTGCGGCTGTTCTTCGGTCGGCGAAAGCCCCCGCGTCAGGGGGCGGCATTGGCGCTGCGCGAGAGCCTGTTCCGGAGCGAGGACGCGCGTAACCGCCAGGGCTTCGTCGAGGTCATCGAGCGCTTCAAACTGGGCAACGAGAACCGCCGAGGTCACGTCGAGTTCATCAACGTGGCCACGCGGTTCGTCACCGAGTTCCACGTCGAGAGGGACCTGGAGGTGTACAAGATGTTGTTTGATCTGTTCCCCAAGGGGAAGTACACGCCGCGGAGCCTGGTGCAGGCCGAGTTCTTCCACTTTCCCTACCACCAACACTGCGGCGTGCGCCTTTTGGACACTATGGAGTCGCACGGTGGGTGCCCACAAGTCAGATTATAGGCTGCCCATCGTTTAGATTCGCCTGCAAATTGTCACCTGGCTACTCGCCATTGCATTTTGCAAACGGAGTTCACTAAAATAACCACGATTTCGAATTTCTCGTGATGGCAATCATCCTAAATTTCCGCATAGATGAGCTTTCGCTTATACATTTAAATGCATTTTTCTCAACATAAATCTATTTCTGGGCAACTTATTTACTTTGTACAACATGTTTTAAGTACGTCTAATAGCCCGATCAGGATGAAATTTTCCCACACATTCCGTAATATGTGAAGGGTGCAAGTAGCTCTCTTAAAACTTGATATCGCCTGTATACTTAATACGAACCCAAAGTAAGCAAATAGTATGGGCTCAGGACTCTGATAATTCCAACATTACACTATTTCTGTGCTATTATTTGCTATACACACTTTCTTGGTCGTTATTTGCATTGTACAGCTAATGTGGAGCAATATGAGCCATTGCTGGCTCAGAACCAAAAAAGTTTAGCGGCATAAAAGGTTTGTCCATAACTAACTACAAATTGTCATGGCATAAAACGAAAACTTACTATAAAACTAATTACTTACTTGAAATCAGCATGAAAGCCTACATGCACACCTAAAATTTAATTTCCCTAGGCTACAGATTAACGTCACATCTTTTTCTGAATCGCATCTCTCCTTGAGTATGCCTAACTACGCGGCGTAGGCACAGAGAGTACATTGTCCAAAGCCTCCCATGACTCTGGCACAGCCTATGTGCCTGTATGTGCAGGGATTCAAGGTGCAGGGATTAGATGGGCAGGCATGATAGAAGCGTTTCTTTGGCCAGAGAACACGTGCTTTACCAGTCAGTTCGGTGGCCTGTAGATTACACATGTTCGGCGAGGGTGCCATGCGTCGTTCCGCAGCGTCTTATTCCTGTTGCTCAACTCTCATCTTGAAATCGCTGGTCTCTCCAATATACTTGTTGTCACAACCGTGGTAACCTATGGCTTAAATAAGACCAGGGATATTTCCGCCCGGCCCATCACGTTGACTAAAGCATCCCTTAGCTTCCATGTTGGTTCATGCACTGTTTTAATGCCTGTTGCTCCTACATATCACACAACACATCTGAACCACAACATTACTTACGTTGGTAAATTTATGCATGTTTGTCATGGCCACGATTTCGGCTCGGCTTGAAGGCTTTCTGGTTAGGCTAGAACTGCCATCAGCAGAGGCTTCCCGGGCTGTGTCATGCCTTTTATTATTTTTTACTATTGCTATTGTTGATATCAGCGATGTAACAGCAAATGTCCTCAGCTACGTGGTTATTTCTGCTAGCTCGCATTTCGAAGTAATCATTGGATAAGCTCGACTAAATTTCTCATTTCAGTTTCTTGAAATTGTGTTTTATTAAATCTGTGATTATTTTTTAGTGTCGCATCCATAAAAGAGTATGTGCGTAAAGGTAACATGCCGGCATCTGTGATTCATTTATGGAGTTGAGAAAGCGATTGAGACTGGACAGATTCGTTCTTCATATTGTAAGAATTTAGCGCAACCTTGACTCTCGCAAACACTCACACAAGCACTCACACATCCACCCGAGTAACACACACGACACGCAGCGCTCACTACTAACTGTTTATTGCTTCGATATGACCTCCTTATATAAGTACAGATGAAAGCACAAAGGCAATAACTAACAAAGCTGCAGCTGTTGAAAGCCAATAGCACGTGAGGTATATAGCTTTGCCATACAATACGGAACTCGTAAATAAAAGTGAACACGAAAAGCAGATAAGCCAACCAGCTAGAATCTCTAAATTCTTGTCTCAATAAAAAGATATCTCCTGTTGATGCAATACTAAAGACGGCTCGCTGACACGGATATTCTTGTTTTTCTCCATAAAATATGCTTCCAACAGCAGACGTGCAGATAAATTCGAGCTTCTTCCAAGAACCTTCGTATCAGAGAATTGTGGTCCACACCAACATGCGGCAATATGTGACACAAGATGTGCGTACGTATCTTCGTCTTTCTTTACCTTTAGCGCATGCTCCATAAGCCGGTCATTGAGGCATCTCTCGGTAATGCCAATGTACACGTTACCGCAGGATAAAGGAATGGAGTATACAACTCCCATCGAACATATAACGAAGGCGTTCTCAAGCTTTTCCAGGCAACTGCGTCTCTTGCCATTGCAAATGCGCGGACCCAATCTGGTAAGCTTATCTGGCGCAGAAATGACCACACCCACACCATGCCTAGCAGCGACCTTCTTAATGTTATGGGAAAGCTTGTGCACGTACAGCATCACTTCAAGCTTGAAACCCGATGGATCCCAAGCAACTCCATCCCTTTGTGTTCCACGTTTCATCTTCTGCAGTAGTGACTTTGCAACCGTGTTTATGAGCGGCAAAGGGAAGCCCGCTGCCGTAAATCGGCTAATCTGATCATAAAAACTAGTACGCATGTGGTGTGGACACGACTTAGTCAACGAGGATCCTAGGAAAAGTGAAGCGATTTCCCATTTAGCTATTTTACAGTGCGCAGAATCATACGGCAACTGTCCCTTTTTACACAAGGATGGTAATACCAACAAAAGTGTTCACTATCCCACAGTAGCTTGAGGTCTCAAAACTACCTCGGTACCTCGGTAGTGAACCCACTCTCGCCTGCCGGGCGAGTGAGGTGTGTCTGGATGATCTCCTCCACGAAGGCCTGCGGGTTGTCTTTGTACTTGTGTCGGAGCTTGGCCATCTGGACACGAGTCGCCGTTCTCGTGCTGGTTGGATCCAGCAGGTGCCTGAGAATCTTCCATGTGTGCCCTGCACTCATGCTTCCGTTCATCGTATCGCACAGCTCCTGCCATTCCTGTTCGCACAGTCGAACGCAGTGGGCCTCAATCTCTCGGTTGATCTCGGCAATCTTCTTGCGTATCTTCCTGTTCAGTTTCTGCTGACCCGCTCTTCGCTGCATAGATTTCTTGGCCTCTACAAGATGCGCAAGCCGGCTGCCACCCTGGACGGCTCGGGAACGCTGTCGTCGGCGCTTCCGCAGGGCCTGTCGCCACCTTCAGGCTCCTTTCGCCTGTCTGGTCATTCTATTTCTTTTGTAGCTTCTTCTACGTCCGCGAGTAGTTCCCTGCACCATTCCCCGATATCCTCGATCGGCCCTTCCTGCTTCTCTCGTTCTCTTTGCTCTCGAAACTTGTCCCAGTCCACGACTCTAGCTTTTTGGCAGCCGTCCATTTTGCCTCTATCCTCTCCCATTGTCATGCACAGGAACCTGTGGTCGCTCCCCAGATCCTCAAAGGTGTTCGACCAGGTGATCGCGCCCGCGTCTGACCAAATGGAGAGATCAGGGGACGTGTCGCGGCACGCACCCTGTCCAATCCGGGTGTGCGATGCCGGTTCATTGAGTAGAACCAAGCCAAGCTTGTCCATCAGTTCGGCTAGCCTCTTCCCTTTGGGCGAGTCGGCTCCATATCCCCATTGCGTGTGCGGTGCATTGAAGTCTCCGCAGATTAAGATGGGACTGGAGGCGGCCTTCGCCATTGCTTCGCAAAAAAGGGCGCCAAAGTTGTGCGTGAGGTCCCTTTTTGAAAGGGGGCTGTACACGTTAAGCACGAATAGGCCGGTCTTCCGGTTTCCAATGCAGGGCACGACCTCAATCAGGTTGTGGTCTATGTCCGACTCCTCGCTGATATCACGTGAATGGTCAATAAAGGCCGTCCCTCTCTTAACTAAGGTACACACCTTTATGTCCTTCCGCGTGCATTCACACAGAGAGCCAGATGTCACATAGCCCGGTAGCTGAGCCCGGTCGAAAGGTTCTTGCAAAGCAATCACGTCGGGAAGTGTGCTTTTCGAGAGAGTATTCATATATTGAACCATTGTAACTTTTTTATTTTTGAAGCCCCTACAGTTCCATTGCCAGACATTGTCTGCCGACAAACTTGCGGGACGTAGCCATGGTTGCTATTCAAAGGCGTTGGGGGAACGCGACTGCCCGTGTGTCCATCCTTTTTAAGTGTGGGTGGTGTTGACATTGCTCCTTCTGTTGAGAATGGTCGATGCGTCTCCTTCCAAATCGTCGTGGCCTTGTCCCTGTTGCTGCAACTGCGCCGTCTCGCGTTCCAGATATTCGATGCGCTTATTCACGGCCGCAAGTTGGTTATTGACCGCGGCATACTGTGCGTTCCTTTCGGCGTCGGACTCGTTCAGCCGAATGAGGAGTGTCTCAAACAGTCGCTCTGTCTTGTTGGTTAGTTTGTCTACCATTTCTTCGATCACGTCTATCTTTCGGCCTGCTGGTCGTGCCCGCTTCGGTTCTTGCGTGTGATTTTCAGCGCCTTCAGACTGTTAAGAATCGCTTGGGCTCTTAGGCTTAAAGCCCACCACCACCGGCGCTTCATATTCACCTCCACAGCCCATGTCCGTGTCCCCGTCTCCTACTGATGAAGTTGTGTCGCGTTCATCGGCAGCTCCATAGGACGAGGAGGCGCCAGAGGAAGGGGTCTCTGCGGGGTGTCCTCCCATTCGCTTGAGGATTTCGCTCAGTGTCTGTTGTAGCTCCTCAATTTTCCGCGTTGATTTTTCATTCTGCTTTCTGGCCTTGGCCAACTCTTGTCTAAGCTCTCTGTTCTCTTTCTCCATGTTCTCCATCCTCGCTGCCAGGCCGGGGTCGGCGGCTGCCCGCGGGCGGTCGGAGAGAGGGTGCCCCTGTGTGGAGGCCGCCTTTGTTCCCGTGACTATGTCACGCCAGGTGATGTCGCGCGGCCCTTTCTGTTTCCCGCCAGGTGTGGCCCCCACTATGTCTTGTTGGGGGTGGTGTCAATTCTCCCTGCGGCTTCTGCTCCGACTCCGGCTTCTGCTCGTACTACGACTGTTGCTCCGTCTTTTTACCGGCGAGGGGGATCCGGATCTGGTTGAACCACCCATGAACTGTTGGGAGCGGGTTCTGGATCTCGAGCGACTAGGGCGGCCTCCTTCCATCGCACCAGCATTGCTATCCAATGATGCCGGGGTTCGCTCTTGAAAGTCTCTAAACCTGGCCTTCCACCTTCTCTGCTTCACTATGTGCGGCACCTTGTATTTGGCCTTGCACATCCGGTCAGCCGTGGGGTGCGCCTCACCACATATTTGGCACTGGGGCGTACACTCGTGTCCATTGATGGGGTTCTTTAATCCACAAATGGGACACAGTTTGATATATGGTCTTGGGCACACGTCAGGTCTGTGGCCGAGCCTGCCACATTCCTTGCAGAAGTCTATCTGTTTCTGGTACAGAGATACGTTTATCATAACGCTGTTGAAGTAAACCCACAAAGGAACTTGGTTTCCTTCATAGAGCAGTATCACGTTTGTCGTACTACCGAGCCTCTTCGCATACGTTAGAGAGGGGTTTCTTGTATTCACCAGTGCTTCCACGAGCTGATCTTGATTATATTTAAGAGGTACAATGCGTATGATTCCTTTTGTCATATTCCCAGGCACTGAAACATATGCGTTCGTTTCGTACCTCTTTCCGTTGATAGTCAAAACTTTCATCTTGGCGATTTTCGTCGCTGTGCTTTTCTCCGGTGTGCTTATCACCAAAATGTTTTGCGTGGGGTTGGGGCAGATCGTGATCATCTCGTCGTCGCCCACTCCTGCTCCGTTGCGTATCGCCTCATCAAGACTCGCACCGCACGTGCTCCTTATATTCAGCCCGTCCCTCGGTCGAACAATTACCTTAATATCGTTCCTGGGCAGTCTGGGCATCTTGCTTGCTCGTAGAACCTTGCTGACAATGCTTTGGCGGCCTTGGCGCATCGGGCTTGGTGAATGGGCGTCTTCTTGTCTCACCACCTTGTTTTGGCTCGCGTGTCTTCTTTTTTTTTTCGTGTAACTTCAATCCAGTCATCTGCAACGCCGTCAGTGTCTTCGTTTTCACCCACGGAAACGCTTCTTGTTTGTTCAGTTCTGTGGTCCGTGGCTTCCCCTGTCCCTGCCTCGTCTACATCCATCTCGGCTGTTCTTTCAGTCTTCGAGTTAGACGCGGTACGCGCCAGGCCCAACCACCGTTAGGCCTAGACACTCACTCGTATAGTTCTTGCAGTTTACGAGCCTTAAATTTCGTAAAGCTCACGCTCACCCAAAAAGCTGGTATCCGTGGGTTCGCTATGACTTTATCTGTCCGATGGTGTGCCACTTTCAAGGGTAGAGTTCGAAAAACCTCCGGAAACATTCACAAATCGACGGAGCCGATGTGACATGCGTTTGTTTGCTCCCACTGGCGACCGTAGCGCCTCCCGGCATTGCTACAATGTCGCAAGTACTCGCGCTATCTGTATATGTCAGATGTAGCGGTATATTTGTTCATTATCAGCGGACTATTTCAGGAAAATGTGTCGGAAAGTAAGTCTGGTATCATATCAACTTCTGCTGGGACAACCAATGTGGAACTCAATACATTTACCACTTCATCAGCTCTAACATTATTTCTGCTACAAGAAATGATATTTCAAGTGTATAGCTCATATAGCTACTTTTGCTTGGGTAGAAATTTTCGATAGTAAGAGAAAACTGAAAATTGATTGATTTGATGTGATGCTGAATATAAACTGTTGCTTTAGTGATAGTTACACGGGATTGTGGCAACTTTTATAATTTGTTGTACAACTTGGTCACTTTGACATGATTTCTTCGACAGATATTGGTATTTTGAATGTATTATGTACTAGCTCATGCTACTGTTCAGCGACCATCCATCTGTTTAATTATTTGTTTCTTGAGGTTCGCCTATATTCTTTTAGGTGCATTTTATTTCATAATATATGTTAATATTTTTTAGTTGCTTAAATGAGGCTTTAGACTCTGGGAGTTGTCAGAAATATTTTTCCATCTGGTGCAAAAACACTGATAGTTCCTTCAAACTAGCATCTATCTGCTTTGGAAACACTTAAGGCTGTTCCAAAGCACCATATTTTTTACACCAGAATCTTGTGCAAAAAGCTAAATTTTGCTTTTATCACTG